AGAGAATTTAGATATAATCTTGGCTCACTCAGTCATTTTGCTGGTGAAGAAACTGAGTTTCAGGGGTAGGACAGAATTTGTTCAAGGTTATAGTCTCTTTAAAGCTCATTTATGAATTTATTCAACACATATTATGTGCCAGGTATTATCCTAGACACTGGGTAGAGAAGAAGGAGTAACACACAGTTCTCCCAATCTTGAGCACCTTCAGGTCCAGTGGAGAATTTATATGCACAGACAATAATATGATTGCGTAAAAAAAGATCAGCGATAGAGAAATGGTAAGAAGGTGGAAGTGAATCAGTGTGAAGAAGGTCAGACAAGAACAGAGAGGAGAAGGCAAGGAGAGAGGACTGAAGCTCTCCATCCACTTAAGCTCTAGAGCATTCAGAAGGGTCAACCATTCATTCTGTGAACTAAAATGTGCGGGATGTCTACCATGTTCAGATCATTGGGCTTCACTTTGGAGGTACAGAGGATATCTGGTATCTCAAAAAAGCTTTGTGGTGAGATATTTGATATCTTACACAGCACATGAAAGCTTTGCGTTATTAACCTGGAACATGTTTCTAACTTTGGGGTGCCCCGATGTCCTTGGAACAGGCAGGTAGTATTTGTTCTCACCCAAATCACTCAGCCAACCAGCTCCAAGTGCAACCAACAAGTGCCAGGTCCTTGAACTTTTTAGGATACAATTTTCCCCTTTTGTGGTCACTTAATCAGATTGGTGACAACCTGTCCAAGGATACATTCTGAAAAAGCTTGGTGGTCAGAGTGGAATTGCGCACAGCTCTGGGCCTGTCCTGGCAGGGGGCTTGTGTTTCATACTTGATCTCCAACTACTTCAGGGAGATAGAAAAATTTCCTCCCACCCTCCTGAAGGTTGGCTCCAATGAACTGAGAACAGGAAGGTTAAAAGGAAAAAAACGCAGAGCAGGAGGAGGAGATTCAGAGGGGTGTGATTATCCATTAGCCCAAATAGACTCAGAGGTTATATGCCCCTCTTCCCCAGGGAAGCGGAGAAGCAGAGTGTAGACAAGTTTTAGGGAAATAGTCAATGATTTTCAGGGGGTGTTCAAGGGGCTTGAAAACACACAGAGGCATGGGACACAATCCTTTGGATCTGCGGGACAGACAGTGATTGTCAGTGATTGTCTTTGGGGTACTGAGTGTGACTGAAATAGAAGACTGTGGTGTATGGTGGAAGTCTGTCCAGGTGTGCTGAGAGACTTCAATCTTTCTTCCTGATATACGTGTTTAGTGAACGAAACTCATGGAAGGGATCACGGGTAATTTTTCTTCTTCGGAGTCTAAACTTGACGCAAAGGAAACTTTGCCTTAAGTCTCTCCCTGCACTTGTTGGGGAGAAGAAAGACAGGGTTAGGGGGACCTTGATTTTGAGCCTGCTTTAAGTTCCTTCTGATTTTCTTTAGATCAAATTGCTCCGTATGCTAAAAAAACACATATTTTTGGAACAGTGTTCCCTGAGCTTCAACAATAGCATAAACCTTTGCAAGAAAATGATCTATTTGTGAGCCTGTACCATCTCCCAAGGAGATTGTTTTTCTGTTTTTCTGTTTTTTTTTTTTTTTTTTTCCCTGTAAGGAAGAGAGGATGATATAATGGAGTTGCTTAATACACACATTCAACACATGTAAGAGCTTTTCCCTCCCACTCCTCCCTCAATGTTTTAATGTAATACTGCCCATAGATTTAGGAATGTGGGAATTAAAAATTAACTATTGGATTTGGCAACTTTGTCATTGGTGACCTTGACAAGTTTCAGTGGAGTGGTGTGGACCCACATTGACTGGAATGGATCCAGTAGATTATAGATAGATAACTCCTTTGAGGAACAAAATACAGCAGAGAATTAGAATATAATTAGAGGAAGTAGAGGAAGATGTGGATTTAAGAGTGGATTTTTTTTTTAAAGATCTATTTATTTATTTGAAAGTCAGAGTTACAGAGAGAGAGAGAGGGAGGAGAGACACACAGAGATCTTCTATCTGCTGGTTCATTCCCCAGATGGCTACAATAGCCAGGGCTGGGCCAGGCCAAAGCTAGGAGCCAGGAGCCAGGAGCCAGGAACTTCATCCAGGTCTCCCATGCGGGTATCAGGGGCCCAAGAACTTGGATCATCTTCTGCTGCTTTCCCAGGCCATCAGTAGTGATCTGGATTGGAAGCAGTTGATTTGAACCAGTACCTTCATGGAATGCTGGTGTTCCAAGGTGGCTTAACCAGCTATGTTGCAGCGCCAGCCCCAAGAGTGGAATTTTTTTTTTAAACATGGAAGAAATCATTTTGTGAGAGCTGGCACTTGGTGTAGCGGGTAAAGCTGCAGCGCCAGCATCCCACTTGGGCACCAGTTTGAGCACTGGCTGCTCCACTTCCCATCCAGCTCTCTGCTATGGCCTGAGAAAAGAGTGGAGGATGGCCCAAGTCCTTGGGCCCCTGCACCTGTGTGGGAGCCCTGGAAGAAGCTCCTGGCTCCTGGCTTCAGATTGGCGCAGATCCATCCATTGCCGGCCACCTGGGGAGTGAACTAATGGATGGACGACTTTTTCTCTCTCTCTCTTTCTCTCTCTCTCTCTCTCTGCTTCTGCCTTTAAAATAAGTAAATGAATCTTTAAAAAAAAAAAAGAAATCATTCTGTGGTTGTGCTAACTGGGATGGTCCAGCAGCGGCACACAGTGGTGATACAGGAGAGAGGAGAGCTATTGCTAAAGAGATGTCCTTGAACAAGAAAGAAGACAGGAAGTTTCCATAATGTGCTAGAGCTGGTTGTTGAACATAGGGAATATTAAATATTAAATTACATAAATTTACATTTAAATACATTATTTTAAGAAGGTAGTAAAAATCAAATCCCGTCCTGTTGAAATTATATTACTGCATCTTCCCATGACCTTGTTCCCGAGATTCTTTATGCCGCTCATGTGTGGGTGGCGGAGTGGCACCGTTTTGGTGCACTGCTGAGCTTCTCTTCCCAGCTCCACCATCAGTGCTGCTATGTTGGTAACTTTCCCTGTGGAAGGAACCTTTACGGCGTGTATTAGGGTTCTTTTGAGACATCGAATTGATAGGATATGCGTGTATGTATATGAAGGGGGATTGTTTGGTTCATGTGCTTGTGGAAGCTGACAGGTCCCACAACAGGTCTACTGCAACTAGGGACCTTGGGTTGCTGGCAGAATGATTAGGCCAAGCCCATCGGTCTCCATTCCAGGGAAGCCAAGGATGTGAGCCTTAGTTTGAAGCCAAAAAGCCCGAGTGCCAGCAAGGGAACTGCAGTGTAGTCCTGGAGAGCAGAGTCCAGCGTCTGAATTTGGAGACAAGAGATCAGCATGTGCCAGCTCTCTGTCCTGGAGAGCCCAACACCCATTGATGGTGCCTGCCCACTTTAAGGCACAGTCTTCCCACCTGGTACACACAGGTTCACATGCTAAGCTCAGTTGGTAACACCTTCACGGACACACCCAAAATGATGCTTTTCCAGGTTTCCAGGTGTTTCTTAATCCAGTTAGATTGACATCATAAAATTAACTCTAATATACCATAATAATCAGCACCCCTTAGAAATCAGGCTTTGTTTTTGTTTTTCATTCAGGGGGAACTGTTTGTGAAACATTTGCCAGCCAACAAGTGGAGACTGGCCCTAAACTAAGGGCCCACAGGTCATCCGCGGGGCAGGAGGGAAGGCAGCGGATTGGGCCAGGCTGTGGACAGGTGTATCCTATTTATTTAGTGGACAAGGAAGCAAGGCAATGAATGCCCTGAGATTATGGCTGGAGAGGAGGCGTTGGAGGACTCTGAGAGAGTAGGTGGATTAGAGAAACACAGTATTTCAGTAGTGTATTTGATGCCATGAAATGGCCTCTTGAGTCCGTGGTTATGAATTGAGAGAGGCTGGTGAGCAGGTGTGTGATTTTCCTCCGGGGCTCTGTCAGTGGCTTGGGTGAGGCAGGAAGAGGAGATTAATGGCAGGCTAGGGTTCTGCTGGACCAGCATGACCACGCAGGGCAGGGCAAGTGAGATTATGAATCCGTCAAGGCCTCAGAGATCTCCGTTTTCCAAACGTGCCCCGCCCGTGGCAACTGGAACCTGCTATCCTGGGGATTTTCTTATCTAGTGGAGTAGGTGGTAAACCATCTGGCTTCCTCATTCTCCTGGTCAGCAAGGCTTGGGCTTTATCCTCCCTAGAATCCGCAGTGCCAGGCACATAGTAGGTGCTCAGAAATGTGTTGAATCACCCACCCAACAAATGGATGAAATCGCTCATTTTAGTAGCGTGTGTGTGTGTGTGTGTGTGTGTGTGCGTGTATGCGCGCGCGCGTGCTTGCTGGAGTTAAAGAGCTCTGACTTCCTGCCTTTTGTTTCTTGCTCTACAGTGTTGAACCTTTGATGAGCAAACAAACTTCCCTATGGTGTTGGAAACACAAAGCCAGGACTGGTTCTTTTTTTTTTTTTTCCCCATGGAAACTCCTTGACGTTTTGGGCATTTTTTTTAACTGTTGGCGGGGGTGGGGGGCACCCCATGCCTCAGAGGTGAGTCAGGCTGTTGCTGGCCTTTGTCTCGCCGGCCTCAACAGCTCAGGGTTAGGTGTTATCTGTTACCCCTAAACCTTAAGGGTGAGGAATGTACGTATTTATTTTTTTCCGTGCAGCCCATGGTGGCACGGGCTTATTCTGTCACTCCGGGTGGAGATGACACGAAAGCACAAGCCCCAGAGCCCAGACCCCTGGGTGTAGCGCGGTGGCAACTTTCACGTGCAGGCGCTGCCAGAGGAGCGGACAGGAGCAGCGGGGCGCCTCTCATCTGGCGGCTGCCGGGCCCGGGGTCGGCCTGCGCGCTCCCTGGGCCCCGCGCACTCGGGCGCGCCTCTAGGCCCGGCCACCCAGACCGAAGGTTGGCGGAAGGGGGCGTGGGCGTGGCCGCTGTGCGTTTCTCCCAGTGGTCAATAAAGTTGCGAAAGTTTGAAAAAGAGAGGAAAAAGTCCACGCCCCTTTGGCCGCCGAGGCGTGGAGGCCCGCGGGCCCGGGCGCAGCTCGCGCCGCCCAGCGCTGGCCGAGGCGTGGCGGGCGCGCGGGGGCCGAGGCGCGCGGCCATGGGGGTCACGGTGGACGTGCACCAGGTGTACAAGTACCCCTTCGAGCAGGTGGTCGCCAGCTTCCTCCGAAAGGTACGGGGCCCCCTCGGGCCTGCCCGGGCTTGCGCCCTCCCGCGCTGGCCCAGCCGCTCCCTGGCGTCCCCACCCCGCTTGTCGGCGCGGAAAGCCCCTGCGGCCGCGGGCTTCGCTTCAGGGCTCTGCGGGGCGAGGATGGAGGTGCATTTCCTCGAAGATTCCCGCTTCAGGACGAGGGAGGGGGCGCCGTGCGCGGCATCACGTTCACGCCTGTGTCAGCTGGAGGGAGAGGCTTTGGGGGTTTTGGAGGTTTTGGAGCCTCGTTAGGGTCCTCGATGATGGACTCGTGACCCCTTAAGAGCTAGTGGTAAAAAAAAAAAAGTGGTTGAATTCATTGTTCTGCTTGCCTAGGATTTGTTATTCTATTGCGTCCCTGCCACAGTTGGAAGACTTTGGGCAGATGTCTTAGCCTCTCTGTGCCTTAGTTTTGCCATCTGTGAAATGGGGGAAGCAACAATGACCGCCCAGGGTGCTTGTGAGGATTAGAATGAGATCGTGGCCTGGAGTACTTAGCTGGGTGACTGGTGGTCAGAATGGGCCCTGAGGCACTTCTGCTGCCTGTTCGGCCACAGCCATCTGGTCCCCAGCCTCAGTGTTCAGTGGCCATTTTCCTCCCAACGCCTGTTCCTGTGGCCTATGGTAATGGGGAATGGGAAATGTCTTTGGAAAATTAAAAGCACCATGCTCGGGAGGTAGGACCCTGAGTTCTAGTCTGGAGCTGAGGTTAGTTAGTACTCTGGGCGGCCCTGGCCAAAGGTCATTTCTCAGGGGCTCAGTTTCTGCATCTATACCATTTCACCAGAAGATTTTTTTTTTCTTTTAAAGATTTATTTGAAAAGCAGCGTCTACAGAGAGAGAGAGAGAGAGAGAGAGATCGATCGATCTTCCATCCACTGGTTCACTTCCTCAAATGACTGCAATGGTGGGAGCTGGGCCAGGCCGGAAATGGGAGCCAGGAGCTTCACCCAGGTCTCCCACGTGGGTGCACGGCCCCAAGCACTTTGGCCACCTTCCACAGGGAGCTGGACTGGAAGTGAAGCAGCTGGGCCTCTGTGCCTATATGGGATGCTGGCGTCTCAGGCAATGCTGGCCTCCCCACAAGACTTTTAAAGTTCTCTTTTAGCCTTCTCTTTCTTAAGCAACATTTGCAAAGATAACAGTTTGACTTGGGCAGCATCTGTTGGACAGTGAACTCCCTGCACATCCTGGGATCCAAACTAAGGGAGATATTGGGGAGATAGAGGTCATTAAAAAAATCAACCTTATGAACCTTTTCCAAAAAACATTTGAGAGGCAGAGGGGCAGGGTCAGAGGGAGAAAGCAGGAGAGAGAGTACTCCCACCCCCTGAGTCACCCCAAAAACCCACAGTGGCCGGCTGGGAGGGCTGACGCTGGGAGCTGGGAACACAGTCCAGGTCTCCCATGTGGCTAACAGGAACTCATCTACTTGCACTCTCACTGCTGCCCCTCAGGGTCTGTGTTACTGGGGGGCTGGAGTCAGGTGCAGAGCTGAGTATTGAAGCCAGGCACCCTGATGGGAAACTGTGGGCATCTTAACCACTGGGACAAGTGCGTGCTCCCCAGGTTCATTTCTGAAATGCTAAGGCCGGGCCTCCGTTAGAGGAGGAGACTCAGGTCCCGGAAGAGTGAGTAGGTTACCGGTTATCACGATGTTGTGGAAGCCTGTTTGTAGCGAGTGTCATCTTGATGATACTGTTCATTCATCCCTGCACTTCGTTCATATCTGCACGGGTGCCTGGCACCTTCTCAGCACTCTGCACGGGTCTGATGCACGAAGGGGTGAACTGTGAATCTGCCGTAGACTTTGTCTCAGGCCAGGCTTCTGGAGGTTTTTATTCAGACTGGCACATTGGCGTGCAGATTCTCTAAGGTCAGCCATTGCCTCTTTTTTTTTTTTTTTTGACAGGCAGAGTGGACAGTGAGAGAGAGAGACAGAGAGAAAGGTCTTCCTTTGCCGTTGGTTCACCCTCCAATGGCCGCCGCGCTGCGGCTGGCGCACCGCGCTGATCCGATGGCAGGAGCCAGGAGCCAGGTGCTTTTCCTGGTCTCCCATGCGGCGCAGGGCCCAAGCACCTGGGCCATCCTCCACTGCACTCCCTGGCCACAGCAGAGGGCTGGCCTGGAAGAGGGGCAACCGGGACAGAATCCGGCGCCCCGACCGGGACTAGAACCCGGTGTGCCGGCGCCGCTAGGCGGAGGATTAGCCTAGTGAGCCGCGGCGCCGGCCAGCCATTGCCTCTTTGGAAAGCCTTTCTGGGTTGTCATCGGCAAGAGGTGAGCTCCACCTTCTGAGAACTCGCCAGGCACTTTGTCTGGGCCTCGCTGACCATGTGTAGTGCCAGCTAGTTACTTTTGTGTGTGTCCTGTTCCTGTATAAACCCCAAGCTTTTTCAGGGCATGGTGCACTCCTGCGCAAGCAGATAGCACAATGCCAGGCTCTCATTTTCACAGCCTTTGGAAAGTGCTTTCCTTGCCTGCACTACCTGTTTCAGATCCTTACCTTCTGTGCCCCAGGCTGTGTGCTAGGTGCTGAAGGGCATAGCAGACAGCCCTCTTCCTGTGGAGCTGATAAGCTCTTGCTGGTGAGATTGACATTAATAAATGATGAGCAAATAGATGTAGCCTCCCACTGATAAGGTGAAATTATGCAGGGTAAACACGTGGTGCTGTGGCTGAGTGGAGCAGGGAGGCCTGCTCATGTCCAGGAGGGTGGTGTTTGTGAATTGGCCGCTAAAGCATGAGTAGGAGTTTCCCAGGCAAGCCAGGGTGTGCATGTGCTTTTCATTCATGATCATGTTTGCTGCTGCTGGCAGCTTCAGGAACAGATATTTGTTTCCATTTCACAGCCTGGAGAAACTGAGGTTCAGAGAGGTCTAAGCAGCTTGTCCAGTTCCCACAGCCAGCAGGTGGGAGATGTGTGTTTTTTTTTTTTTTTTTTTTTTTTTTTTTGACCAGGCAGAAGTTGGAATAGTGAGAGAGACACAGAGAGAAAGGTCTTCCTTTGCCGTTGGTTCACCCTCCAATGGCTGCCGAGGCCGGTGCACTGCGCTGATCCGAAGGGGGAGCCAGGTGCTTATCCTGGTCTCCCATGAGGTGCAGGGCCCAAGCACTTGGGCCATCGTCCACTGCACTCCCTGGCCACAGCAGAGAGCTGGCCTGGAAGAGGGGCAACCAGGACAGAATCCGGCGCCCCAACCGGGACTAGAACCCGGTGTGCCGGTGCCGCAAGGCGGAGGATTAGCCTAGTGAGCCGCGGCGCCGGCCTGAGATGTGGGGTTTTAAGACATCCAGAGCCCACATGCCTAACCCTCGGGCAGTGCTGCTTTGCACATCCTGTGATTACTGCAGGAGTGAAATATTTCAGAAGCAGCTTTGTTGTGCTCTTCTCCATCCTCACTTTCTTTTGGTCCACAGTCTTCCTGGTTTTGTCCATCTGGGTGTACCACTGTGTCTGACATAAAGGCATAGCCTTGATGCATGTGAGGATAAGAATATACAGGTGGTTCAGTTACCTACAGCCATGCAGCAAATCACCCTGAAACTCAGTGGCTGAAACCAACACCTGACTTGTGACTCTGGGTAGCCCAAGCTCATCCACTTGGATTTTGTGTCATGCGGTGTAGCTGAGGTCACGCGTGTGACTGTATTCAGTTAGGATCTGGGAGAGCCCTTGGGAGATACTTAACTCTCTGACCCCCTGGGTACTAAGTGAGGCCTGGGACCCAGGGAACGAGAACTCAGGAGGCCGTTTTGGAAGGCAGAGCTGGGGAAGAGGCAAGCATTTGCACACTGAAGGTTTAGCACTGGGACTATGTGAGCACCGTGGATGCCATTGCATTTGCCTGCTTTGTATTCATTCACAAAGCAATCCTTCAGAGATTCCCTGGGAGGAATGAAGAGACTATTTTTAAGAATTATTTATTTGGCCGGTGCCACGCCTCGCGAGGCTACTCCTCCGCCTGTGGCGCTGGCACTCTGGGTTCCAGTTCTGGTCGGGGTGCCGGTTCTGTCCAGGTTGCTCCTCTTCCAGGCCAGCTCTCTGCTGTGGCCCAGTAGTGCAGTGGAGGATGGCCCAAGTGCTTGGGCCCTGCACCCCATGGGAGACCAGGAGGAAGCACCTGGCTCCTGGCTTCGGATCGGCTCAGTGTGCTAGCCATTTGGGGGGTGAACCAACAGAAGGAAGACCTTTCTCTCTCTCTCTCTCTCTCTCTCTCTCTCTCTCTCTCACTGTCTAACTCTGCCTGTCAAAAAAAAAAAAAAAAAATCCAAATGGCTGCAAGGGCCAGGATTGGGCCAAGCTGAAGCCAGGAGCCAGGAGCTTCATCTGGGTCTCCTACATTGGTATAGGGGCCCAAGCAATTGGGCTGTTTACCTTTGCTTTCCAGGGCACATTAGCAGGGAACCAGATAGGAAGTGGAGCAGCTGGGACATGAACCAGTGCCCATAGGGAATGCTGGTGTTGTAGGCTGTGGCTTAACCTGCTGCAGCCCAGCATTGGGATTGTTTATGAGATGTAACTAAGTCCATTGCCTGTGGGAATTCACCTTATGTTATTTAAAGCCTTGAACTAGAAGTCAGTAGACCTGCATTCCAGTCATTACGTTTTCACTGCTGGCTGGGTGCCCATGGAAAACAATTTTCCACCAGCCTTTTCTATGCCCCTGTGCAAATCGGAAAACCAACCTGTGCTGTGCCCTTGTGCAGCTTAGAGAAAGCATCATTTATGAGCTCACGGTACCTGGGTTAGTGGAAAGTAAATGAGGCTATTTATAGACATTAGAAAGGTTGCGACATCCTCTAGGGCAGGTGTACTCCTGGGCCCAAAGGCATACTTGACTGGGAGCCCTTGTGCAGTGAGCAACATGCACAACTGTATATAACAGCCCCAGTTTTACATCTATGAAATGGTTGTAGAATCTACCCCACTTGCCTCCCAAGATTGTTGTGAAGATCACATGTGTAACAGTTTGGTAAAT